GTCTATTATGACAAACGTGGGCAATGACATTCTCAATTTTCCCACTGTAGCACATTTCCAATGAATGAAAGATACAACAATTTTACGTAAATATTAATTTATTTTCAGAGAATTACTGGATGCCTTGACGTCGTTGACAACGCGATATCAATGCCACTCGCACTATGTACATTTTAGCACTAGATCTAGTGCCGTTTTAGCACTAGATCTAGTAGTTTTTCGGATTAGTGCTACTAGCACTAACCACTCGCACTATGTCCATTTCGACACATTTACATATCTCTTTAACTAAGATGAATTCTGTCATGCATTGCTGTTATTCTGCTTTGAATGCATGCACAACTATTCTAGGAAGTATGTTATGTTTGCTGTTGATTTGAATGTAGTGTTAATAGTAGTAAAATATTCCTAATATTTAAATAGCTGTACAAGAAACAAGAGTTTGTTAAGCATCTCAAACCAATTTTAATGCATCATGCCAAAATGTTATTTTGTTATGAAGTCATCTTCTTTATTGGTGTCACACTACGACGGTCAAAACTCAGTTGCAAACGATTCAACAAAAATATCTGGATATCTTTCAAATGCCATAAATAATTATAAAATATTGTAAAAGGCTTTATGCAAATAGAGACAACAATACATCTTGAAAGTATACACGATCTTGGTGGCAAATGAACAGACAATATAGAAAAGATCTTTATTAAACTATTTTATTACATCAATGTAATTTTTGAAGATAAACAATTTTATCATCCAGATAAAATTTGAGTCAGAAATCTCTCTGAATAATACATGCATGTCTTAAGTATGATAACTTATTGACGATAAATGGACTGTCGTGTTGTACACATGTTTCGCAGACATGGTTGTACTGGGTAATATTTAATTATTATTACAGACACTATCAGACCTAAGGAGTACTTATACTTCTAAACTAACAAAACCTTGTGAAGATCAGAAGAGAAGAAATAGAGGAGGAAAAAGAAAAAAAGGGAATCGCCATGAAATTTCAAAGTGTTTAAGTGGTAATTGCAACAAATGCTCTTTCTGCGAAGAATTAAAAACAGTAAGTAATATTGGTGCTCTGCTGTTAGACTACACATGTTGAAAACTGATGTTTAATAATGCACTTCAGTTTTGTTAAATGAATGATTGTAATTGAGTAAACACCATTTGTTCAGTTGTTGATACTTGTGTGCAGTGGTCTTTCCAGTTATCCTGTCTGTGCCGTTTGTATATGCATGCATGTCTGGTCTACTGATATATAGGTCTGAGATTATTACAGTTTTTGACCAATTGCTAACACATTTCAACTAAAAATGATTGTTAATCCTGTCAGGGATGTCTTTTACTTTTTAATTGCAATGTTATACAATAAACAAACTATGTGCAAACAATACTTTTAACCCAGCTCATTGAAACTCCTTGTAATATGCAAATTATAATTACCATTTCTCCATTTGTAGCCTTCGTCATCCACCCATTCTGATGGATCAAAGGATGCATCCACTTCTAAAGGTTTGTATTATTACAGAATAATGTTGCATCCCACTTTGTAAATCTGTGACATACCATCTCCTGCAGATATAAATTTAAGTGGATCACTTAAGCTAAGATTTGTAAAAAACAGATTCTGAGTTAGGAGGCTTTGTTGGTCCTTGAGGGACAGTTACATTGTAGCTATATTTGTCTGTGGAATAAAACTCTCAAGAAAAAGTATATCATATTTGTTAGCTAAAACAGCATCATTTTAACACATTTTATGTGTTATGCTTGTTTTTGTAGTAATTCTGCTAAAAAAAATAGATAATCCTGCTAAAGTAACTTGATAATTATGCTAAACAAACAAGATAATTCTGCTAATGTATCTTAATAATATAACTTGATAATTATGCTAAACCCTGCTAATGTCATTGGGTAATTGCAAACTGAACTGTATACCGTAAAATCTGTATTAGAAGCCGCATCCCTAATAGAAGTCGCATCTATTCTTTTTTGAATAATTGAGAACCAAAAATTCATCATTTCTCATATGTGTAGATGCTCTAATAGAAGCCGCATTCCCTCTGTTGCATTGTACCATTTTAATAGAAGCCGCGGTTTCTAATACAGATTTTACAGTACTTTATATCCTAGTTATTTATCACCTACTAGAATTATTGTATACTGAATATAAGCAATAAGCAAACTTGTAATTGTAATCACCATAAATAACCCTAATCTTTGCAGTTCATT